CCGCACGCTTTTACACTAGGAATCGCCGAACAAAATGTGCTCTCACTCTCAAGGTCGCCGAAGGTCGCAGTAAAACTAAAGATATTTCAAATCTAGATAGTTTCCTGAACACTCTCATATAAGTTTCATGGTGTTCCGTGTAGTTCCGCGCTTTTGCGGCTCTACTAAAGACAGGAAAAATAAACGGTCTCGGGTACTGTTTTCAATGAGCAATTATAATACTTAAATAATGATTTTGGAGAAATCAACGGTCATATTTCCTTTCTCTGGCCTTTGACATCTCGTTTCATCCTGAAATGACACTTTTTCGCCACGAAGTACTCTAAAAAAAAGCAATACAGTGGCACCACTCCTGATGGCGAGATTGAGGCAGGACGCTTACCGGCTGCAATCCCTTTCATTTTAGCGACCACAATATTTATTTTTGTGATAACCATGATAGATACGTAACCAGTGGGTGCCTGTGGACCCACTCTGACCATAAATAACACCATTTGTTGACTTGATATAAGGGGGGTTTTGAGCAGCTAGATTGGGGGTTTGACACACTGTGCGCCGCCTGCCCGCGGCGCCTGAAGCAACCATTTCACAATGGAGGTGGAGGATGGAATTTTTTGAAAGATAATTAAGTCCTGTTACACCAAAGAGGTGTAGAGAGTTTTAGTGAATTTTGTCTCATGGAATTGACGCTCCCCCATTTTTACCAAAACTCTCAAGTATATATTATCCTCCGTTGGACCAAACAGACAAAACAAAAAAACAAGCAAACCCTCTTTCTTCCAAGACATTATACATATTTTCATCCAAAATCGTCGTGAGCAATTGTCGTTTGTTTTTACATGTGGGCCAATTAACTCTGGGTCTCAACTGGCACGTGGACCAAAACTCCCGTGCCGAAAAAACGCGTGGACGTAAATTACTTGAAAAAACAGGTGCGCGGACAAAAAATCGTTGACGAAATTTCCTATAACCATTGCAACAATGGCATTACCTTATTGAAAAATGCAACTACTAGATGCGTTAACTAGATTTGAAAAATAAAGGCTTCCTCACGAACTATATTTTTGGCATTAATATTTATGAAATATCTAATTAATGACTTTACCCACCTCAAACATAAAAGTGTTGACCTCATCGCTTAAATCCTTATCGGATAAAGGCACGGATTGAGAGTCACAAGCTTCCATCAAAAGGTCTAAAAATGCTAATTTCTTCTTTCCTGCAAAACAAATAACGCATTCGAATCATTTCACACCACCCCATTTTTTCACTCATTTTTGATTAGATATTTTGGCTCTTGAGTCGGTAAGTTTGATATTGAATTCACCTTTATATTAAGTCTTGCAAAATTCGGAGACTATATATAGAATTGCACTTTAAAAGTTACCGGAGTTTTCAGTGAGGAAGTTGTAACTATGTCATCGCCGGCCGAGACACGGGAAATTTGGGTGAGATCCTTTTAAACTATGTTGATGTCAATAAACAACAAAACGTGACATTCTTTTTCGATGTCTCTAAATTTATGCATATTTTAATCTAAATCGATTCCACCCGTTCAGTTTGTTTTATGCACAGTATTTTTTAAAATATCTTACCTCCAGTATCGTCACATGTTTGGCTTTCATTTGCATTAAAATCACCGGAAATTTTTTCTCTGGACTTTTCCTCCCTTCGCTCCTTGATAACCTGGAACATATAAAAAAATTAACAGCGTTATTCAAAAAGGTAATAAGCATTAGTCATATGAATATATATCCGTCCGCAACACAATCTACGTCTGGGAAT